TGAGAGGGGAAAAATGAAAATAATAAATGCTTTAGACAATAAGAAATATAAAGTTGACTGTTGAGTTGCTCAGTTTTTTTAGATTGTCAATACTATTACTGTATAACTAATATCTCAGGTTAAGAGGCACCTTCAAATAAAGATTGGTCTTTAAATACATTTTGTCTTTTGAATTGTTTGTCTAAAGTCAAGGATCTAGAACTGGTACTTGTAGTTTTAATGATACAGTCTGGTTATAATGCTGTTTGGAGGAGGCCTCACAGGTAAGAGCACTAACTAGCTATCATCACATGTACCTTAGCTTAACTTAAATGTATTAAACGTATAATTAAGTGATGGCAAAATATAAATAACTAATGTCATGCAAACATATTAATATTTTGCTTGATTCCAGTGTTTAATTTAGCACATTGCATACAAACGTTAAGGGATTTTAAGATTCTGAAGTATTATGCTAAAAACTCAACTTAGATTATTATTTATAGTTTTGCTGAATAGTCTCATGTCCGCTTACCTTAGAAACGTAAAATGCGACGGCAACTCTGCAGATGGTGAGCATGTTAGCTTAGCTTGGTAGCTTCAGCTAGCTCTGTTATGGCGCGTTTCCACTACAGCGCGCAGCCCGGTTTAAGAGGGCTGTGACGTCAGCGGCCCGTTTGTGGTTGCGTTTCCACTTGGCCTAGTACCGGCCGGCGGGTCCTAATTCACAGTTTTTCTGGCCTCATAAAATCTTGGGGCCAGGGCCAAAGACAACCGGGCTGAGTTTGTGACGTCAACGCTCTCGGCTGCTGATTGGTCGGAGAGAATCGTCACAATCTGCGCGCGAGATAATCCATTTTTACAAACAGCATTTTTGTTAACAGAGGAGCTACAACAATGGCAAAGAAAAGCACACCATGGTCGGTCGAGGAAGTGACGACGTCCATTATATTGCAGATGATAAGGTCCAGCGGGTGCTCGACGGGACAACTCGCAATATCAAAGTCTTTCAGGAGGTCTCTACACAGACACTGGACTCTCCAACGGCGTTACTGGAGTCTGCATGGTACGTTTTTGCTAACACTCTGTTATTTGCTTGAAAGCTTTGTGTCCCTGCTTTGTGTCCCTATCTGTTCTAAAGCTCACTTCTAACAAATAAGTCTATTTTATCCTTACATTTATGTTCGACAACCCATGCTTTTATGGAGCCCCGAAGGCTAGCTAGGCAGATAGCATTAGCGAGAGCTATTGTTTGCTAACACCATATGTGCCATTGTTTACGTTCAGTTTGTCTTTTCTATAGTTGTTGTTGCTATTTATAGTATTGTGCTGCAGTAGTTTGTGGAATTTACAAGTCATGTTTCTGTTCTAGATGATTACATTGGGACTAGCGAGGAGGAACAGTTCCGAACAACGTCCTCTGCATCAACAGCACAAACCGAGGAGGAGAGGATCTGGCCCTGCAGGAACGGCAACTGGCCCAGCAGAATCAATGCCATGTCTTATCTTATTGCTTGTTGATAAATAATTGCACCCACCAGCGATCGCACAGAAAGATGGCATCATCTAGGCGTCCCTCTGCAGTCAGAAATATCATAAACACCATCGTCCACAAAGCACTGTACAGGGGTTTATGGATTTAAGAGAATACTTATCACAGTGAAACCTTTATCATCTGTTGCAATTAAAGCAAATAAGAGAATAAATACTTGGTTAAATAATACATTTTAACTCTTTAGCAGGACAACTCTGCATACTCTTTGAAATTGAGTTTGCTAGCTTGAGGTCCTCCTCTAAAACATAACATTACATAATGGTATTAAGAATACATGATAAATACATGTAGTAAAAATTACTCAATTGTAATACCCTCGTTGTGCTAGACTCAAACACATTGCTTATATATTTCAAAGAGAAGAGAACAAAAGAAAACACCTATACAAAGAGAGCGGTGCACAGCGCTTAATATTTACTTGCACTATATTTCTGTTGATCTGGGTTATTGTGTTGCACTGTTGGAGGAGCCTGTGACCTAAGATGTTCATTGTCATAACTACACTAGCTATGTTCGTATGACAAAATAAAAAACCTTGAACCTTGAGGCTGTGTCTTTCAGACAAACCATCATAATCATATTATTTTATGCTGTGGATACTTTAGCCTCCATCCATGTTAACAATTTTTTACACTTGCATTTATGAATATAGTTCTGTTGTGTTTTACACTTTTGTATTTATGTTTATAGTTTGCTTTGATATTTGCTTAATTTATTAGATTATTATTATTATTATGGGGGCAGTACTGGTGCTTGAAATTCAAATATTTACTAAATAGTCAATTCTGATAACATTTTTTTGGTTTAAATAATTTGACAAACACATGTATGTGAAAAAGAAAAGATGTATTTATGTTCAATACAATACAATGAATATTTAGGTATTACATTATACATTCTAGGTATTCAGGTAGCGCATCAGACCCTCTCGTATGTCCCTGCCCTCCTCTGCACCGTGTGCCACTGCTACCCCTGGTAGACGTAGGTTTTCCTCAGGCATCCTGAAGTTCTCCACCCACTGAGTGTGTGTGAAAGATGGAACAATCACATTCCACCACTCGGTAGCTCGGTCGGTAACTTCTGAAATACACAAACAAAAGCATACATATTTTAATACGTAAAAGTGGTAGCTACAATTAATTAAATACTTGAAATACTTTGGTCGTATAGGGAGCGTGAGCCTAAACACATTGCTAGTTAGTGAACGTTAGCTTACCAAGTAGCATTGTAGTTAGTAGTGATTCGAGTCGTCCTGTAGTCTCTGCGGCGTAGGAGGACTGCCCGAACTCTCGCGTCAGCTTCTTCTATACGTCGCCTCTTTCGAAACAACTCTTGTCTATTTCTTGTGATAATAAACCACACAGCAAAAAACAAGCAAACGATCGCTTTCACATCTTCACATCCTCCATTGTTGTGTCGCATTGAAGATGACGTCACGGCAGTTTTAAGCAGCGTCGCTCCGCCTACACTGCGTTACTATAGATACTACCCCAGTTCCTAAACTGTAATGGAAACGCGCCATAAAGTGAGCTGGTCCTAACGAGGCCAATCGCGGCCCAGCCATACCGAGCGGGGCCGAGCGAGGCCGTGTAGTGGAAATGCGCCATTACATCCAGCCCGGAGCCAGCAGGTCCCGCCTCGGCTCCGCCTCTTTGCCCTTATTTGGAGCAGGCTGGAGCAGGCGGGAGTGGAACTCTGACGCCACTGTCGAGCCGTTAGTGGCCAATTCCGCCTACTAAGGGCTTCTCGGCAACTCTGCAGAATCCTATGGGTGACGTCACGGACCCTACGTCCATTTATATATACAGTCTATGGTACAGACAGAGAGATCGAAATATACCGTTTCCCACAATCCCGAATACAAAAACAAATATATATAAAAATATGTGACATACATACACAATCAAAAGACACATTTATACATATGCACACATTAAGACCTAAATTAAAGCACAACAATCAATATATACAACACAATAGTCACTTCAATATCTTTGAGAATGTACATTTGTGCAAGACTGTCCATAGCAGCGTAAAATACATTCTGTTTTTAAAGATTAAACCATTACATGAGTTGTTTGGGCCTTTTGAAGCTGAGATAAAAAAAAATCCAATATTTCACAAAACAGCAGTTGCTCTATCACTTAAGATTATGCCTTCTTTCTCTCATGTATCAACTTCTAACCCCTGAGATGTATGCCCTAAGCTTTAGGAAAAAGGACAGAAAAGGAAAAACTTTACAAATGTATATCCCTAGATCTATTGTTACATAAAATAAAGTAGTGATAACTAGGCCTACTAACACCTTCTCTCTGTGTATTGACTTTATAAAGACATAGGATGCAGCTGCACCAGCTGTGTGCAGCAATTCACAAGCTACCCTGCAGTATACTAAGTAATTCAAACTAGCTGCATCTCTACCAGCTTTGATAACACTTTAATAATGCATCAATAATTATAAAACATATCATATATATTATTCTGAAATGGACCAATCTGCACAATGACTACTTTTACTTTTGGTACTTTAAGTATATTTTGACTTTTCTACTTCTACTTGAGTAACATTTTGAATGCAGGACTTTTATTGTAACAGAGTATTCCTACACTCTGGTACATGATCCACGTTAATAGCAGTGCATGCTTTGAATTCCTGTGATGCTAAGTTAACATTAGCAGCGTCTTAAAGTACGTAACCGAGGCAGGTAACGTAAAGATAGAAATTACCTTCTCGGTGTTGACAGTCGATGTTCGTCAAAACAGAGATGCACCTTTGCTCTAGTTGGCTCTTTACCGTTATATTTTGACTGTGTGTTATGCTAAAACCATTCAAAACAAGTCCAAAAGTCCATCCTGCCTTATCTAAGTACAAGTGATACTCAGATGTTGGCATTATACTGCCATCTTGTGAAAGAAGTGCCTTATGACACGCTCCTGGGGGCTTGTTACTGTACATCTTATCCCTCTGTGCCATACATCCATCATCCAAAAGCTATTAAAAATAAACCAATGCAGCAATCTTTCCTAGTTTAAAGGACATTGACGTTTTGTTTGTATCATTCATCCTTCTGTGAATACTCATCTAAATGTGTGCTATTGTGAGAAGAAAATCTACTTGTTTGATTAGCATTACCTGAAAACTACCTTGCCAAGCTGTTGCTAAGCAGTTAATGAACACAACACAATATATTCATATCGCAGTTTTAATGAATAGTGTCTTCAATTGGTCTTTCTTTCTGGGATGTATTGAGAATAGGAAGAATATTGAATTATATCAACCATATGTATCCCTACCAAGTGTTTTTGAATGTGTCCATGTCAAGTGTACTAATAGCATTCCTGTTATTGAACATTTTAATCCTAATTTTCATTTCACGCCTGAAACATTTATTCAGAGGAGGACCCACATATTCCACTCATTGCTGCGGAGGCATCACATCTTCTAGTATTACTACATTTGACTTACCTTTAGTTTGAGAAATAGTCCACAGTTAGCTCTTGTTAGAAGTATTTGTTGTTCTCGCGCCCAGAAGAGAAGCTTAGAATGAAGAGACTAATGGAGTCTCCGGAAAGGTTCAAATTGGTTGAGTTTAATTAAATGGCACGATGATACAACAAGCAGAGGGTAAGAGGAGAGACAGAGCAGCTGTTGCCTCGCTGGGGTGAAGGGTTGAAGTCTCGTGGTGAAGAAGAAGAAGTAGTGTGTCCAGAGCTCCGTCACCTCTCTCTATATCTCAGTGGTGACTCCTCCTCATCAATGGTGGGCGGTCACGTAGGGAGGGAACTTCCCTCCTCTTTCTCATTGTCTTAGGCGCCGTTTACACGAGGAGAAAACTGCTTGTATCTGCATAGTTTCGCGTGCGTATAGCCCTATTATTTACACGAGGCCGATAGAAACTGACCCCACAAACAATAACGGGTCCCAAGGTGGATAGATTTGCAAACGAAACGCTCTGGGGGGTCAACCGAGTCCGTGTAATCACCTCGATACGAATATTTCCTGAAAAAATAACGATAGCCCCGCCTCTCCCCACCTCTCCTGCTCACTGCTGTAGCAACTATCAAAAATAGCTGTGTTAATTAAACGCACAAGGGGTTTTTGAATGAAATAATATTATAAAAGGCAAACCAGAATTGTTAACGCCCAATATACTCCTTAAACAAAATAAACAGAGTCAGATTTCATGCATTGATCCATTATATTGACAAAGGAGGATCTCACCCGGTGTTTGTAGAGAATATCTCTCTCTTTCTGAGCCGTCCTCTCCACGGAGACGTGCTTCTTGGTCGGGATGCAATATCCACAGATTCGGTTTCTTTCAGTTTCAGTTTCAGTTTCGGGGCTTAAACAGAAGGGTAGCCATGGCAACATTGCAGCGGGGCTGCTCGGTTGCTCTTCTTCGCGGCTTTTGGTGTATTTTGGCGGAAGTTACAGCGCCACTTACAGTCCCAGCATATGTACTACAGCGTTTCCAGCGGCCTCGTTTGAACAGACACGTTAAATGAAACAAATGCATGTGAACGGAAGACTTTTTTGAATACGCATACTGTGCATAAACGCAAACGGTCCCGTGTGAGCGGGGCCTTAGTTTCTCTGATTAGGTCATCTCTCTGAGAGTGAATCTTAAATGTATGTGTGATCAACAGACGCGTTTAGGGGGTGAGGTTTTGCATACTGTGTCTGTGTATATCTCACTGTCTTGTAGGGTGAGGTGGTTTTGCATACAGTGCCAGAGGGGGTAAGAACATTGTGTTGCTGTACGTTTGTCACCTAACTGATTATTCTCTCTAGACCCCAGCTGATTTTAAAACTGCTACGACAAAGCTTACTGTGCGTTTAAACTAAATTACGTCATTGAATATTGATTTTAATTTCTAACACTCTTCAATGTCTTTTATGTGTCTTATTCTCAGCTGTCATGGATGCCAACAGCCGGTTTACCTGGCAGTAACACACTGTGCTGTTCTGTGAATAAACGCTAGACTTTGGACCCGTCTGCTGAATGAATGAGAGAGAGAGCGTTTAACGTTGTTGTGAATCTTTCTAGTATTACAGTATGTCTTGTGTCCTCACACAGTTTATCGTTGCATGATGAAACCCACAACATGTTTTTGATGTGGGTACAGTCCCTCAGAATCAAAGATAGCTTGTTTCTCTAGCTCATAAATGTGCACAAATTATAAGAGGGGTATTTTAAAGAGGCTGTATTATCGTTTTTCAGGTTTTCCTTTTCCTGTGGACGTAAATGGTCTGCAAAGGCTTAAATCCAAAAGTTCTCTCTCACATACTCCCGGCCGCCCCTGCCTGAAACACCTCCATTGGACTCCGTTGTTTACTTCCCGAGCATAGTGATATCATTATGTAAAACTCAAGCTAATTTAGAGCCAAAAAACCCACCGTAATAACAGTGTAATTACGGTGTAATATGGGTGTAATATTGCTGTGACATGGGTGTTATATGGGTAAAATAACAGTGTAACATGTGTATAATATGTGTGTAATAACAGTTTTACATGGGTATAATGGCAGGTTTATTAATGTGTAATGTGGATGTGATAACAGTATAATATGGGTATATTAGGGGTGTAAATACAGTCGGTGTACTGTACGGTGTAATAATGGTGTAACATGGGTGTAATGCAGGTGCAATAGGGGTGTATTAATGTGTAATATGGGTGTTATAACAGTTTAATATGGATGTTATGTAGAAAATAGCAAGTGATTTTTTAAACACACTTAGATACTAACTAAGCACTTACATACTAACAAAGCACTTGTAGACTAACAAAGGACTGGCTTATCTAAAGCCAGTTGAGTAGCACTTAAAATGGTTTGGCTCTATGAAACCTGATGTACTTTTATGATTCTGTTTTCTTCAAGTTTGTATCTTCTTGGTCGAATGCACTTATTGTAAGTCGCTTTGGATAAAAGCATCAGCTAAATAAAATGTAATGTCATGTAATTTAAGGGTTAGATAAAATAATTAAAGTGTTAAAATGTTTGAATCCAGAGAAACAGGACGACATGTTTTCGAGTTGAGCATTATTGTGATTTAATTCACTATGTCTTATATCACAAAGAAAGTCTTTAAAAATGCAGACTAGAATTTCTGTATATAAACTGTACACAAAAAGCAAGGCACTATACATTCAGAGCCGCTGTTTCTCTTCCTCGTCAGGCCCTGACACACCAGGCCGTATTTGGCCGTCTTGCGTTGTCTGGCGACAACGGGTTCCTTGTCGCCCAAAGTCAATTTGGTGTGTCCCGAACCCTCGGCCGTGACACGCCTTATTTGGCCTTTCACGGTCGACACATGTTGAATCGGCCGGGTGTCGGACACAAGCTATCAGGCCAAGAAACCACTATGATCAGCTGTTCAGCTAGCAAATGAGAAGCGAAACGGAAGTGAGGGACGTAAACAAACGATTAAAAAAGGCACAGGACAGCAGCTAAACCCCAGCAGGTGATACTTAAAAGACATCAAACATAGCCCTTAAATGTCCTCTCTTACCTCCCACACATAACAGGGACATCTCTGATATCGGCGGGAGCGTCCCCGGCTGTCCTCTGCTGAGAGCTCCGTGATTTGTTTGGTCAACTCCGGTTTTTCATCTCATCGTAAATTTAGCAAGAAGTGGCCATTATTACATTGCTGACTCAAACTACACACCCGCCAGAACACTGCGATCATCAGATGCAGGTCTATTAACTGTGATTTCATAGTATGTCTGCACTTTATGTGCTCATTTCATCATTCATGTATTTTTATATTCTAAAACATGTTTTCGATGGACGAGAGTGAAAATGGAACGCACACGCTATTTGTTTGTTTATATCAGTCTGTTCTTCTTCTCTGTCTTCCGGTTGTTGCCTATTTTGAATGACGAATACACACTACCGCCGCCTGCTGGTAAGGAGAGTTATTGCCACTCACGCATGCGCAGTTCGTACGTGCTCGGCTGAAGTCTTTGCGGTGATTTCCAGTGCGACACACGGCCAAGACGCAGGAGAACTCGTCGATGGAACTGTCGGTGTCGGGTGTCGGCGAGTTCTCTGGTGACTGCCTGGTGTGTCAGGGCCTTATTTTTGTTGAATAATGTTATTTGGTGAATAAAATATTAAGAGTACATACTTTCATAGTGGGAAAGTAGAAGGTCAATGATAGAAATATAGAATATAAAAAATCAAGAAGATACTGTAAGTGATCTCTACAATAAAACAGTTTAGTACCTGATGTACAAAGATATTAATATGAGGATGTGCAAAACAGACAAACTAATTAACCTTTATTAACACATTAAAGAATACTTTAGGTTAAGGTCTTCTTTCAAATAAGAAAAAAGCTTTGGGGGTATCTATCTACAGATAAATATTAAGCCTGACAAAGTACTTAACGTCTAATATATTGCTTTCCTGCAATGTTAACTGTGTTGAAGCACTTATTTTAACTGATATTATATATATATTAATTATACTCTTATGTATGTAGATCGTATAAGACATGTGCAGAATTTGAGTTTAATGGTGGAGGTATACACACATATTGATAGATGTCTTGTAATGCACTGTTGAGGAACCTGTGACCCAAGTTTTTCATTAATTGCATAACTTCAACATAGTTGTGTATATGATATGTCAATAAACCTTAGAAAATCTTGAAAGGGATGTGCAAAATAGCTATTATATACAGTTTTTAATTAACTATTAGTAGAGAATAACGAGTAATGAATATACTTTATAGAGATCTGCAGATAAATGTTTAGTCTTCTCAAGCACCAACTAATATCTCTCCTGATTGTTGGCACTTGACAATCACCTTTCCCTGAATTTTACTCAGGTGTAACTAAAGTCTGCTTTAAGGGTTGTTTATATTTCACATCATTAATCAGAATCTGCAAAGTAACTAAAATAAATGTAGTGGAGTAAAAATACCAGGTTAATCTCTGAATTGTAGTGGAGTAGAATTACAAAGTAACAATGAGCTGGCATGTGGGTATATATTAATGCTTCCCACACAAGCGATTTTCACCCATTTATTAATTACATGTTTTACATTTGTACACACCAATGTGTTTCCTATCCCCTAAACCTCCAGGGCTGTACACAGTTTAATACTGTCAACTTCTAATTTTGGGAAAAACGAAAACGTCTTTTAAAACTACAATTCCCAGTAGAGACGTGCCATAGAACATGTTGTGAAACACAGGGTGTTTCTCAATCACGAGTAAAGCTGCTTCAGAGCCACTATTTCAAGCATACTACGTCATCGAGTGCCGCCGAAGTACTGTTCCAATCTCCAGCATACTTGGAAATCTACCGAGCCCGGCGTACTCCGTTTGGAGAAATATCGAGGCTGCACATGAGTAGACTCCGCGGTCTTAAAATCCCCACAATGCTTTGCGCACGGACCAATTTTCCCAAATCTGTGGTGGAAGATGTAAGGCGGGGCCTCTCATATGACGCACACCTGCACACTTGCTAGCGTGTTCTACACTTCGTTTTCCGAATGTCATGTCTTTCTCTCAGTGCTTCAACTATCATCAAATCAAACATGACATGATTCGCTATATAATTATTTACAGTTATCCGTGTGTTTATCATATGATGATATTTCTGTCTATAATCTGGCTTTAGTCTGTGGAGCTTCACAGCTCAGGTGAGTCCTGAGAAACTC